ATAAAATCCCATATGGGAAAAATATTGATTATAAATTCCCATATGAGAAAAATACTGATTACAAAATCCCATATGGGAAAAATACTGATTATAAAATCCCATATAGGAAAAATATTGATTATAAAATCCCATATGGGAAAAATATTGATTATAAAACCCCATATGGGAAAAATACTGATTATAAAATCCCATATGGGAAAATACTGATTACAAAATCCCATATGGGAAAAATATTTATTATAAAATCCCATATGGGAAAAATATTGATTATAAATTCCCATATGAGAAAAATACTGATTATAAAATCCCATATGGGAAAAATACTGATTATAAAATCCCATATGGGAAAAATATTTATTATAAAATCCCACATGGGAATAATACTGATTATAAAATCCCATATGGGAAAAATATTTTTTATAAAATCCCATATGGGAAAAAAATTGATTATAAATTCCCATATGAGAAAAATACTGATTACAAAATCCCATATGGGAAAAATACTGATTATAAAATCCCATATGGGAAAAATATTTTTTTTTAAATCCCATATGGGAAAAATATTGATTATAAATTCCCATATGAGAAAAATACTGATTACAAAATCCCATATGGGAAAAATACTGATTACAAAATCCCATATGGGAAAAATATTTATTATAAAATCCCATATGGGAAAAATATTGATTATAAAATCATGGTGTTCAATTTTTTTTGAATACTTTTTAACATATTATTATTTTTAAGAATTCATCCAACATTTTAGGGATGCAAATCAACTTTTTGCCTAATATATAAATTTTAGTGAGCTGTTGGTTGATCCTGATTACAATGCTGAGTTATCAGATGTTTGGCAGGATATCATTTCTAAACGCCAATAATTTAAGAACATTTTCATTGTTGATGGTTCACACATAAGACGTTGTTCAAACATGATTGGTTTAGCTAAACATATTAATAAATGTTCAGAAATTTGAGCCGACGCTCAATTGGAACCGGTTATTGGCAGTTCAGCGACGCGGTTAAAATTCTTAAATTCGGCCTCCGGTCCTAGATAATAAATAATGACGATGCATTCAATCTGACAGGAAAAGATCAAAATTATATGTTTGTTATTTTGGATAAAAAAAAAACTCGCTACAAACTCTGATTTCCTACGTGCTTGCGACTTAATGGCGCGAACTTTTAACATTTCAAACTTTGATTATTAGACTAGAAGAACTATTATAGTTTGAAATATAAAAGGTTTAAGACTTCAGGTTGAGGATTTAAAAAAATTAAAGTTTGAATGTGCTGATCTTTTTAATTATAATCTTAAAAAATTATAAATTAATTCCTACCTGATTTAAAAATGACTAGCTAATTTAATCCATTTAATGACTTTCATCAATTGGTTAATGAACCTTACCTCCCCTCCTCTCTCCCCTCCTTCCCTCTTCCCTTCATTCATTCTTCTTTTAAAATTCAAAATCAAATTGAAATTTTGTTCTACGAGTGTGAATTAATTTCCTTTTTTTTAATTTGTGAAGCAAATTTACTTTTATTCCTGTTGAAATATCTTCAATTGTCAATTGACCCCCCCCCCCCCCCCCCCC